AGATCATGCATTGCATTTCTCTGCTTAAAAATGCCCCTCAACGCCAACCTTGGGAAAATCCCTCTAAGATAGCTCCATCTCTTACCTGACAGCCATTGAGAAATATTCAAAATAGTCAACTAACCTTTGTTATCCTTTGGGAGCAAAAAACTATGGAGTTTCTCCTGGTGCCTGGCCAACAATATTCCTAATGAATTGATCATTCACCTCAGGGCTGTTTTGGGACCCTGCTTTCTGTAGTCATTAGTCGGTCATTTTGACACTTAGGTAACAGACATCTGCGTTCAGCGTGGTGGGAGGTCACCTTACCGAGGTGAGGGCTCAAACTTGCTTTTGCCATTGCCAAATGATAAATAAATAACTATCTTCCTGGGGAGTGGTTGGGGATGGGGGTTGGATGGGTGCAGATGGGTGGGGAAGGGGGGGGGGGGTGTTAAGCAGTATCTCCTTGGAGCTGATCTGGCTCCAACATGGTATGGTTGACAAGGGAATGTCAGAATCAAGACAATCCTCTGTGTGGTCTCAGTTGTCTGTTTCTGAGCCACTATTTAAGCCCTGCTGATGATAGACCAGCCAGTATCCTCATCAGTTTGACTTGGTAGGACTTAGGCCCTCCATGGCCTTGCCCCACCCTATCTCTGCGACCTCCTAACCCCCTACCAACCCGCCCGTTCGGTCCGCTCAGCCGGCTCTGGTCTGCTCCACGTCCCCCGCCCCACCATAGGTGGGAAAGCCTTCAGCCACTCTGCCCCCAACCTCTGGAATTCCATCCCCCAGTCACTCCACCTCATCCCCTCCTTATCCTCTTTCAAGTCCGACCTCAAGACCCTCCTCTTCGACCATGGCATCGGCCACTTCCCCACCCCTCCATTCGCCTCCCCTGACCCCAGCTCAGGTCTGAAATGCTGTTCACTGTCCAGCGCCTTGGGACGATCTCCCAACGTGAAAGGCGCTATACACATGTAATCTTGTTGTTGTTGGTGGTAGTAGGGACAGGGAGTTTTCCCTCTCCTCCTGTTGACCCTGCAAGCCAAAGCCGGGCAAGCAATGGGAAAGTTGTCAAACAGTGCTTTCAATGACAATCTGGTTAGTCTCCAGCAGCACAGTGGCTAATACACTCTGGAATTCTATAAGTGGGGTCCACCCTTCCGGAGAGAGATTCCATTCCGAGATGGGAGTTTCCTTGTGCCGGGACACATTGGTTTGGAGACTCTGCTGTGATGGTTTCTGCATGTGTCGGACACCTGGCTGATCCATTAGCAAATCAAAATATATATATGTTTTCTTTTTTTTCTACCTGAAACAGTAGTTGAGACAGGATACTGAATACTTTTAAGGAATAGCTCAATTATGTAATGGAAGACAGTAAGATAGGGATTGTGAAAGGATGGGAAAGAGTTTCTGGAGCTGAACCTCTGTTTGACCTTCTCTATGTTGTCTTTCAAACAGTTGACTGAAAAGGATTTCATGGATGCAATAAAAAAAATGGCAGAAAGGAAACAGTTCGGCAAAGTAAGAAACCTCCGCTGACAGATTCTGATTCTGTATTTGTTAGAATATGTTTCTACGATTGTATACTTTTGTTCCTTTTACTCTTTAGCAATTTAAGGCCATTTAAATAAAATAATAAAAATATTTTCAGATGGTGATATACCTTAGTGCATGTCATTCCGGATCAATGTTCCAGAGCCTCCCAAACAATATCAAAGGTCAGTTGTGCATTTTGTGTTCTCACTGTTTGCCACAAGGAAATAGAAACGGGATTTGATAATAATAATAGTCCTGGCATTTGGTACAGCGCCTTATCATGTCTTTGAGATGTCTCAAAGTGCTTCACAGGACACATTGTAAGGTGATTTGGCTGTATTTTGTGAGCGACATCATGAAGTGAATGACCATCTTTATCTGAGGGATTGTTGGCCAGGACACCAGGAGAAACTTGTTTCCCTTCTTCAATCCAACAACAATAACTTACACTTATATAGCGGCCTCCGCCCAGGGCAGCATCTCCGAGCACTTAACACTGGCAGAGCCTGACTCCCCTGTAGTCCTTTGGGATCCTTAAGGTCCACCTGAACAGGTAGACAGGACCAATTTTAACGACTTATCCAAGAGACACTATCTCTAACAATACAGGGCTCCCCCCAGCACTGCAATGGGGTGTTGGCGTAGACTATTATTTCAAAGTCCCCAATAGGTTCCCTTAATTCACAATATTCTGACTCAGAAGGTGAGAATGTTATCAACTGAGCCAGGAGGACACCCAAGGTATTTAAATTGACCTTTTAAAAAAGTATACGGAATATTTGTTTAGTTTAACTTTGTGTTAAATATTCTGTTTTACAGTTTATGCAGTTACTTCAGCGGCTCCCGATGCAGTGTCCTGTAAATCCAACGAGGACAAAAAAAGAAACGTGTACCTTTCAGACGAATTCAGTGAACGTTGGATGAATCACTGTAACTCGGTAAATGGCACATTTTATTACCACTTCTTATTCCGAATTCCGTAGCTCTTGTCCTCTCCTGCACTAACCCCCATCCTCGCCCGACTTCACTGACTCCCCATCCCCCAGAAACCACCAACAACAACAATTACATTTGTATAAGATTGAGTTTAAGATCCTCGTCCTCACTTTTAAAGCCCTCCACGGTTTTGCTCATCCCTGACCTCTGCCACCTACTAAAATGTTACCAACCTGCCAGTTGGTAACTCGGAAAGCATTGGCCTGCTCCATGTCCACTGTCCTGCCCACGCCACCATCAGAGGTCAGACCTTCAGCCTCACTGCCCCCACCCTCTGGAACTCTATCCCGGAGTCCCTTCACCTCGTACCCCCACTTGCCTCCTTCAAGGCCCGTCTCAAGACCTTCCTCTTTAACCATGCCTTTGCCCATCCTCCCACTGTCACCCTCCTTGCTTTCCACCCCTCTTGACTCCAATGCCCAGCTCGGGTGCAAACCCTTGACTGTCCAGCACCTTGGGCAGTCCTCCTGACGTGGGAGGTGCTGTGTAAATGCAATTTGTTGGGTTATTGTTGAGTAAATGCAATTTTATGTGTATCTCACGCTGTGAGTGACCTGGGAATGCTGGAGAGGGCAGCGTAGTGGGATCTTTACTCTTTATCTAAACCAGACTGTGGTTGACACAGGCATGAGAAGCTCGAAAGGGAACAGTTTTCTGTTCCCTGGTACATAGAAGCATTACTTTTCATTCCGATGCTATGGTATTCGACTACCAGACCACAACAGTATTTTCCTGTCCTGTATGTTATAAGTGCTCTGGGACTATACCCACATGAGGAGCACTATATAAATGCAAGTTGTCATTACTGTTTTTCGTAGGTCAATCTTTCTGAGACAACACTTGAAGCACAGTTCAGACACATGAAGGAACACACAAAGAGCTCGAAGATTCAGCAATACGGAGATTTGGTAATGTATAGAATTGGGTGATTGAGAAACCTTTGGGTTTGTGTGATGGTCAAGTTCAACCTCTCTTAACCTGAGGAAATAGGCCCTGGAAGTCGTGCAGAGATTGGCAACAAATATGATCCCGTCTGTTAGAGGAATGGGCTCTGAAGAATGACTAACAATTTTGTTTTTATGAGAGCTGTTGAAAAGAAGTGTCTCAGAGGGGACCACAGAGAGCAGTGATTGACAACTTTTATGGTCGACCAACAAAATACATTTTCTTGATTGAATATTTCTTGATTGCTTGATATAGAGGTATGCAATAATAATACTTGCATTTGATATAGCATCTTCATCACATCTTCAAGATGTCTCCAATAAATAAGAGACTATTTTAAAAGAGATTGTAAGCCCAAAACAATATTTTCAGATACACTGAGGCAGCAGGACCAGAGGACAAAGGCTTAGGGGGGTAAAGGGCAATTTTAGTGTCATCACCAGGTATTTCTTTACCCTGAATGGAGTTAATGTCTGGGGTGGATTATCATGAAAGGTGGTTGAGGTCAAGACTCTGGGACACATTTAAGAAACAGCTCTGGGGCTGGCTCCAGTCGGCTCCTGAGCCAGGAGTGTCCGCAGTACTCTGGCACTGGTGACAGCACAGCCCAGTCTGGCTCATCAGTAGGACTTGGAGGGGCAGACCCGTCACTGGGGGCAGAGGTTCCTTCCCCTCAGCTCCTGTTAATAATAAAATAATAATAATCCTCGCATTTGTTATAGCGCTTTTCACGTCGGGAGGACGTCCCAAAGTGCTTCACAGAATATACTGTAAAGTGAATTGACTGTATATTTGTGGGAAAATGCGGCAGCCAATTGCGCACAGCAATGTCCCACAGACAGTCATGGATTGAAAATGACCAATTTATTATTGTTTTTGGTTTTGGAGGATTATTATTAGTAAGGAAACTTGCCCGAGGTTTCGCCCTCAGCCTGGAATTGAACTCAGGTCTCTCGCTTGCAAAGCGAGTGCTCTAACCACTGAGCTACAGGACTCCAACCTTACAAAGCCCTAATGGATAGGGTGGTCCGAGCTGGACAAGACAATGCTTTCAATGGCAAGCTACGTAGCTTTAGCTGGTGAGACACCAACCGTTACCACAACTCTGGGTCCCCAAACTTTGTTCTTGCCAACGTGCACCGAATACTCTCCAGAGTTGGGTAAGCAAGATGCTTCCCTCCAGAGAAAGAGAGATAGAGAGATAGATAGAGAGAGTGCATTCTATTCCAAAAAGCATCTCTGGGATTTCCATGTGTAGATGGGCTGCATGGAATTCTCAGTTTGCTTTGGAGACTCTTAAACATGGTGATGGGTTTCTGCATGCGTCAGATACCCGGATAACACCCAAAAAATTAAGCTGTAGACATATGATTGACTTTCCTTTACAGACTCTTTTACAAGAGAAGCTGATCTGCTTCCAAGGAACCTCTTCTCTTCCACCAGCGGCTCGTCCACCAGCGGCTCGTCCACCAGCGGCTCGTCCACCAGATTCTAATTGGTGCAGCATCTGTTGACCGAAGGCCTGTGAAGCGTGAACTATATGCAACGAGTTCTAGAAATAAACAGCTTCTAAACTGAACTCCCAAATGAAGATGACCAACCTTAGAAAGGAACTTTGGGTTAAAGGCACTTTAGTAATATAAATTTCGCCCACAAATATACGGTCAATTTACTTTACAGTCTATTCTATGAAGCGCTTTGAGACGTCGAGAAAACGTGAATAGTGCTATATCAAATGCAAGGATTATTATTATTAAATTGCATTGTATAAATTGTATTGTAATATTTCTTTATTAACTTCAGATAATAATAATACTAATAATCCTTGTATTTGATTCTAGACGTCTCAAAGCCCTTCACAGAATATACTGTAAAGTGAATTAATTCCAGGCTCACTGTTGTGAGTCTCCTTTTGATTCTCCTAAGGTGCGGAATTTGTGCACAGACTATTTCTCTCTGTAATTTTTTAATTGTTGTGACCTACAAATAAACATGTTTAGGTTTAGTTGGCAAAAGCCTCAGAATGTATTACTTCTGTCTTTTCTGCTGTTCAGCCGGGTATCTGACACGATTTAGATCACCATTTAAGTACTGAATATGATTGAATGAAATCTCCCTCTGCATCACATCAGGCTTCTGAAACACTGCAAATCAGATAAAAAGCCAATGTCCGAGTGTCTGCAATATTCTCTGTGACCATCGGGGAGGGGGGGGTAAAGAGTCAATAATAAAAATAATAAATAATAATCCTTGCATTTGATATAGTGTTTTGATAGTCAATTAACTGTATGTTTGTGGGCGAAACGCGGCAGTCAATTGTGTACAGCAGAGTCTCACAAACAGTCGTGGATTGAAGTGACCAATTTTATGATTGTTTTTTTCTTGAGGGATTATTATCAGGAGTGAGGAAACTTGCCCAAGGTTTTGACCTGCCCAGAATCGAACCCGGGTCGCTCGCTCGCTTGCGAGGCGAGTCCCGAACTGGGGTTTGGGATCGAGGAGGGTAGAGGGCGTGGGGTGGCGTGAGGGGAAGGAGGGTGACTGAAGGCACAGTCGAAGAGGAGGGTCTTGAGATGGGTCTTGAATTGTTATAATAACAATGAGTTTGATTTTTAGCAATGACCAAAAGGATTCAGGAGCTGAGAGAGAAGTGAGTCAATGGCTGGAAGGAAAGCCAGGAAGCCTAATGCAGTAGAATGATGTGGGGCAAAGCTGAGAATATTTAATAGTATAATAATAATCTTTGCATTTGATATTGCGCCTCATCACATCTTCGCGACGTCTCAAAGCGCTTCACAGAATATACAGTAAAGTGAGCTGGCTATACTTTGTGAAACGCGGCAGCCAATTGCGCACAGCAGTGACCCACAAACAGTCGTGGATTGAGTGATATACGGTCAAATTATTATTACTGTTTTTGAAGGGGTTATTACCCCCGGAAAAGCAATCCACCAATCGACTAACAACCGGGTTCCTACCTACTGCTGGTAAACAGAGTAAGGAAACTTGCCCAATGTTTCGCCCTGCCCAGGAATCGAACTCCGGTCCTCTCATTTAATTTGAGTTCTCTACCCACTGAGCTCCAGGACTCCACTAATAATACTTCCAGCTGTGTAACACTAAAAGAATATAAGGGATGGGGTTGGGGAGGGATGGAGGGAGCGATGAAGTGTTTGGCAAAGTACTTCATTTTCGTCGGACTTACCAGACATAAAAAAATTTCCCTGATGATGTTTACTTCTAAATGTGAAACTAAAACCTTCAAAGTCAATGCCACATTCACAACCAAATACAGGTCACACCGGTGAACCTTGTCCACATCACCAGTGAGGTTGATAGATTGTTGGTAGGTCGGGGTATTAAGGGATAGGGGGGGAAAGCAGGAAATTGGAATTGAAAGGATGAGTTGAGGTATAGATCAGCCATGATCTAATTAAATGGTCAAACAGGCTCGAACGGCTGAATGGCCTCCTCCTCTTCCTATGTTCCTTTGGCTGCTGTATTTTGCCCACAAAATATAGTCAGTCGACTTACAACCAACTCTTCATCTTGTGCACATGCGATTTCTTGGGATTCCTAATGTGATGCCACAAAGAACACAGTATACAGTCATAGTATAAAGTCGGGGAATCCCAGACAGAACACGCCCACATAGTACTCTATGCTCAATCTTGGCGTTATTTCCTTTAGAGCTTCTGGGTGTTGAGCAGCAGACGTGAGCTGATGGGTAAGGCACACTCGTTTTAGCATTTTGTCGCTTCAAGTGCAGTTTGAATTTAAAAAAATGTTTTGCTGATCAATAAGTGATTAATAATTTGGGGTAATTTGAGATCATTGTCAGAAGACACGGTCTGAGGTAAAACTGAGTGATTGCGGGTCAACTCAAGATGTTTTGGGTTCGATTTCTGATTGTGTGTCAGTCTGGTGCCGTGGTAGCTCTCTCTCTCGCTCTCTCTCTCGCGTTCTCTCTCTCGCTCTCTTTCTCTCTCGCCTCTTGAATCAGAAGGTTGTGGGTTCAAGCCCCCACATCAGGACTTGGAATCACACAGTCGAAGCCAATGGGTCAGAAGGATGTGGGTTCAAACCCCACAGTGTTTTAAGCTCACGGTCCAGACGAATGCAAACAACAAATTACATTTGTATAGCGCCTTTCACGTCAGGAAAGTACTACACTCTGGTGAGTGATGAGTGGGAGGAGTGTTTCATATTCACAGGTGTCGTCCTTAATAATAATAATCCTTGCATTTGATATAGCGCCTCATCACATCTTCGAGACGTCTCAAAGCGCTTCACAGGATACATTGTAAAGCGAATTCACTGTATATTTTATGGGCGAAACTCAGAAGCCAATTGCACAGCAGCGTCCCCACAGACAGCCGCGGACTGAGTGACCAAATTATTATTATTTTTAATTATTTATGCCACAGTGTGAAGGGCAATTTTAGTGTCATCACCAGGTATTTCCTTACCTTCACCAGCTGCAGATCATCCGAAACTCTGCAGCTCATCTACTCTCGCGCACCAGGCTCCGTGACCCCATCACTCCCACCCTCGCCTGACTCCCGTGGCTCTCCATCGAGTTTAAGATCCTCGTCCTCACTTTAAAGGCCATCCATGGCCTTGCCCCCTCCTACCTCTCTAACCTGCTGATTCCCTACCAAACAGCCCAATCCCTCCGTTCTTCGGGCTCCCGTCTGCTCCATGTCTCTCGCCTGACCCGCCCTACCATCAGTGGCTGAGCGTTCAGCCTCTCTGTCCCCACACTCTCGAACTCCATCCCACAGTCCCTTTGCCTCGCTTCCTCCTTTGCCTCCTTCAACGCCGGTCTCAAGACTCTCCTCTTCCATCATGCCTTCGGTCGCCCTCCCACCTCTCTGCCTTCCCTCACCCCTACCCCAGACCTCCCCCATGCTGAGTCCCTGACACCTGACTGTTCAGCACTTTGGGACATTCTCCCAAAGTGAAAGGCGCTCTATAAATGTAATTTTGTTGTTATGTTGTTAATGAACGGAATTAATGTCTGGGGCGGATTGAGGTCAAGACTCTGGGACACATTTAAGAAACAGCTCTGGTGCTGGCTCCAGTCGGCTCCTGAGCCAGGAGTGTCCGCAGTACTCTGGCACTGCTGATGACAGCACAGCCCAGTTTGGCTCATTGGCAGGTCTTGGAAGGGCAGACCCGTCACTGGGGACAGGGAATCCTCCCCCTCAGCTCCCATTAACCCTGCAGACAAAGCCCTAAAAGCTAGTGTGGTCTTAGCTGGACAAGACAATGCTTTCAATGGCAAGCTCCGTAGCTTCAGCTGGTTAGACACCAACCATTACCCCAACAGTCTGGGTCCCCAAAGTTTGCTCTTGCCACCCTGCACCGAATACTCTCCAGAGTTGGGTAAGCAAGATGCTTCCCTTTCGGGAAAGAGAGATAGATAGAGTGCATTCCATTCCAGTAAACATCTCTGGGATTTCCATGTGTAGATGGGCTGCATGGAATTCTCAGTTTGGTTTGGAGACTCTTAAACATGGTGATGGGTTTCTGCATGCATCAGATACCCGGATGACTCCCCAAAAATTAAGCTGTAGACATATGATTGACTTTCCTTTTCAGACTCTTTTACAAGAGAAGCTGATCTGCTTCCAAGGAAACTCTTCTCTTCCACCAGTGGCTCGTCCATGTCCGGCCCACACAAGAAAGGAACAGAATGATTCTAATTCTTGCAGCATCTGTTGAAGCGAAGGCCTGTGAGGCTGTGAGGCTTGAACTTTTATATGCAATGAGTTCTAGAAATAAGCAGCTTCTAAACTGAACCCCCAAACAAAGATGGCCAACCACCTTCCTGCACCTTGGGTTAAAAGCACTTTATTTATGTAAATTGCATTATATAAATTGTATTGTAATTTTTGTTTATTACTTCAGATAATAATAATACTAATAATCCTTGTTTTCGATAGAGTGTCTTATCATGTCTTCTAGAATAGACTGTGAAGTGAATTAATTCAGGGCTCACTGTCGTAAGTCTCCTTTTGATTCTCCTAAGGTGCGGAATTTGCGCACAGACTTTATTTCTGTCTGTAATTTTTGAATTGTTGTGAACTACAAATAAACATGTTTAGGTTTAGTTGGCAAAAGTCTCGGAGTGTATTACTTCTGTCCTTTCTGCTGTTCAGCCGGGTATCTGACACGATTTAGATCACGATTTAAGTACTGAATATGATTGAATGAAATCTCCCTCTGCATAATATCAGTGAAGCTGACAGCTTCTGAAACACTGCAAATCAAATAAAAAGCCAATCCCCAAGTGTCTGCAATATCCATTGGGGAGGGGGGGGGTAAAGAGTCAATAATCAAAATGATAAATAATAATCCCTGCATTTGATATAGTGTTTTGATAGTGAATTGACTGGATGTTTGCGGGCGAAACGCGGCAGTCAATTGCGCACAGCAGCGTCTCACAAACGGTCGTGGATTGAAGTG